ATGATGATGATGATGATGATGATGATGATGATGATGATGATGATGATGATGAGGATGAGGATGAGGATGACGATGATGATGACGATGATGATGATGATGAGGAGGAGGAGGCGGAGGAGGATGACGATCACGATGGATTGCTGCATACCAAGCCCTGACAGCTGCGGGGCGTCAATCCAACATCACCGGGTACGGGCACACCGTGCGCACCGACTTGATTCAACACAAGTGCCCACTCGTCACTCAAGGCGCGGCAGGTTGTTCCAGACCAGTACCACGTCGTCTGTGCATCGCTTGCCATCCTTGGATGCACACTGCTGGCGGCTGCAAAAAAGCATCCTGGACCCGACTCCTGCACATAAATGTTGACACGGTGCCGGGCGTTTCAGAGCGTACTCAACAGGTCGAAGATGGTCGAAGGCAACAATTCTATGTATTATGTACAGCAATTGTTGCTCTCTCTGCTTTGGAACACCTTGGGTTTGGTGATTGGGATGATTGGGCTGCTGGCAATGAATCACAGTGCGTTCCCTTTTTTCATCACCGTGCTTGAATGGGTGGGGGGATCCAGTATGCAATTTTATAGACATAACACGGTGGAACCAACCACCAAGGGAACCCTAATTTGAAGAACCTGACCAAAATGCTTAATCCCTAATTTGAGTATATCTGACCTAGCTATATAGAGAGGAAAGTAGGTAAGACATGCCTGTCAAGCACATCAAGTAATGTCAGCAAAAATTGTACGTCATTCTGTTTTGTTCATCTGCAGACATTGCCGTATTGCGTGCGCTTCATGAATCATGTCAAAAGCAGCAGTGACATCATGCACAACCGGTTTTATCTATAAGATGAGGGGCTGACCCCCTCACAAAATAGGGGTCCTAAAACAAAATATGGAGGGTGCACCCTCCTCATTGCATAGAGGTTACTAGCATGGTGATCTTTTTTCCCAGAAAGCATGCCCGGCATCCTCAAGCTCTACTCCCTGACCTTTCTGCTCCAAATGATTCAAACTTCAAACCAAAAGAAGCTTCGTCTGCCGTCTGCTCGCCTCTCCGGTTCCGGCTATATAATTACGCTCTCGGGAACTCCACCTGGCCACCTCCGACGTCCTTCCGAGCGGCGTAACTCCGAGGGACCTCCGCCGAGGCGGAGCAAATGGTGCTGGGAGGTGTGAAATCCTCAGCCGAAATCCGCAGCACTGAGAAACGGCTTCGTGCCGAGGAACGTCCAAAATTCGCGACGTTAGAGATTCATCGTGGCCAGGGACATGCGATGTTTGACTCGACGGCCTCCTCTAAATGCAGCCCGCGTAGCAATGGTTGCGTAAAGGAATCCCTCACATTCCTGGCAGCATCTCCGTGCAGGTTGTGTTGAAAAATGCGAAAAGGTATTGGTATGGTGTTGTGATGTATTGCCTGCAGCAGTGACAGTGGGAAAGGAGATTTGAGGGATCGAAATTTCACAACAAAGGACAGAAAGGCTTCAGATTTCAGCCGACCTCTTCTCTCCGGCTCTTTGCTCTAAGCATTGGCGTGATTGATTCGATGTTCCAACCAGTATGCAATGTGAACTGATTGGGGGTTGATTGCTCAGATCGCTGATCAGAACAGCCAGCTGAAAAATGCAATACCAAAATGGCCACTCGCAAACAGAGGCACTCAGGCCAAACATGGCCAACAGTTCTGAATGCTAGCCGAAGCTGCTATTGAAGCCGCGCGCATCTCCTGCATGAAGACATATGAAAACGCATCATCAGTGATCCTACTTGTTCAGCCACGAGATCAAGAAGGACTTTGCCGCGCACACGCAGAAGCCAAACAGGGAAAGCTGATGCTTCGCTGTAAGTTTTACAGCTTCCAAGCCGGAACTGCAATGTGCAAGGAGTATGTAAAGCATAGTGCTGCCACTGGTGCTGCCACTGGTGCTGCCACCCCTCTTCTTGCGCAACTTACGTAGCTACTCTTCTTTCACAGGGTCAGAGTCTGACTTCAACCTTCACCTATTTGTTAATGCTGGAAAACATGCTCAAGAACTCATGACCAAGATCCCACCTCTCCATGTGGCGCCCACATGTGGCACCGTTCACCGTGGCCAAAAAAAGCATGCCGTTCTCTTCGCGTTTCGCTACCGTCGAGCGAAACGCTCTCCGGGGTGATCTGCACCGGCGCCACGGAGGCCCCTTCGGGGCGATTCTTCGGCGGCGGGATGCGATAAGGCGCCGCGTCGCCGCCTTCGCCGACGGAGCGGCGCAAGGCGGGACGGTCCCAACCGGGAGAGAGATCGGTCGCAAGGGAGTTGGTCGCCAGGCTTCGGTTTTTGTTTTTCCGAAAGTGATTTGGCAGGACATGGCAGGACAATACGTATCCATAACGTGGTGAAATACCTACACACCATGTCGAAGGGATCGTGATGGTACTTTTGTGGTTTACACTCTTTGGCTGTCGCATCTGCAGGACTGTACCCAGCAGCCAAGATGTTGGTTCCAGGGCACATGCCAGTTCAGCAGCACGGTGGATGAATAAAGACAGGGAGGTTTGCCCCTAAATAATCGTACGCTGCTGATCAACAATCCAAGTTGTTGGGGGCTTCGACCAATCACCCACACAAAAAGAACCTTAGAATCCATATGAATCCACCAAACCAGCAAATGAAAGAATGCAAAATGCTCATGAGGGTGTCCAACTGTCCAACCCCACCCCTCAAAAAGAAAAAAACACTTGAGCGATGCCATGCCGTGTGCCCGGCGCCTCGGCCTCTACTGCGGCTCCGCCGCGCTGGCGACCGCCGCGGCGGTGATCGCCGTCGAGGGGGGGACCGGCGGGGCGGCGACCGGCGCCGCGGCGGGGAGCGCCGCCTGCGGCGGAAGACGCTTTGGCTGCACACTTTGGCGCTTCGGACATCTATCACACACTTGAAGCATGATGGGACAAGTCTAAGAATGAGGAGAACTGGTCCCCTTGGAGTTCCGATTGATAATGTGACAGTGTGATGTGTCATGTCGGATATTTTCATATCTTTTCTGATGTTCTCTCTATGCCCTGACCATCCCTGGCCCAAAACGTATCCAAACCCGTCCTATCATGGACATGTGGTAGACACATGCAGACACCCCTTCAGTTCACCTCACGAGGTGCCCGCCTGGGTGGACTGCGGCTATCCCGAGCTATGCCCCTGCCACCAGCCTGTCGCCTGGTGGCGAGCTCCAACGTGCTGATAGTGTCTTAGATGAAGGAGAGGAAGAAAGAACAAAACGATTACCATTCATGCATTAAGACCCATTGTATACATATACATATACATATACATAAATATATACATATATGTATAAGAACTAAGTATATCAATAACAACATAGGATGCATGGCATGTCTGACCTAAGAGGAACATGGAGGAACAATCTCAAGACTGCAAGCACGTCAACGCATGGTGTGGTCCCAGCTCAATGGCTTTCTTTGCACCATGTCCTTTGCAGCCTTTGTACTCTTGGATGGGCCCTCCGAGAGCATTGCTGGGTAAAATGCTATATGAACTATGATTATTCGCGATTATATAAACAACGCCATAGACAACTTTGACTAGAGAAGAACTTCGCTTAAAGGAAATCGAGAGCAATATGTAAATGCGAAAGTTCTTACAATGACAATCTCAAACAAACATAATTTCCTGCCTGAAGGCGTCTGTGTCCAATTCCATAACTATTCCAATCTAATTGAAACAGCCCAGCCCTTGGCCCAACAGTGGGATTCCAACCAATGGGTCATTTACTTAATACTTAATAATACTTAAACACAATTTAACAACTATTGAGGTCTAGGATGCCTAGCACGAACAATTACCATCCCTCTTCAAGGAACAAATTCAGACATGGACAAATGCAAAAACCATTTTCGGCAATGTGGTTTTGAGATGTTTTGAGAATGTTTGAGATGATGCAAAGGCGGCCTGGGAGGGCTCCGGCTCTCCCGCCGCCGAGGAGGGCTACGGCTGTCATAGCGACCGCCCCTGGTGCACCGCTCGGAAACGAATCAAAATGTCACTCTGAAAGACCGTATTGGAGCCCCTGCACGATCATCTGCCCAACAAACGCATGTTGACGCACAACTGGCACTCAACACCCATGGGGCTCAAGGATGTGGCCAACAACGCACCAATACCTACTAAACAACCTTCCTCAAATACTCCCTCAAATCATCTCAAATCCACCACATCACCACGCACATGGTTTCACTAAAGTTTACTCCAAGAAACTCCTTCGTTCCTCTAATGATGCTCACTCTAGTAGCCCTAAGTGCCCTAAGTGGCCCAGCACCCAACTACTCATTCTTGACCGGGTCGCATCTGCCCTCTCGAGCAGCTGACGCTTGCGCTCCCACTCCGATGCTGGGCTCGTGGGCATGTCCGAGTTCAAGGCTTGAGCCAACTACTTGGCAGGAGTGCTGGGATGACAAGTCCATGCCAAAAAATGTTGCTTTGCATCATTACACTGCTGTTTTCTTTCACTCTCTGCAACTTCTCGGTCCAATGGGTTTTAAGATGTTTTAAGTTAAAATTAAGGATTCTAAAGGGTCCAGCAATTACTTTTTAAGGTAAGGAGGTGTGACTGGAGGATTGACATGGTGAAGTCATTGACCCGCTCGTCCAGGCTCCGGGCCGAGCCGCACCAGCGCATGACACTTGGCATGGTTGATGGGCACATGAATGATTTCTCCGACCTCGGGTCTGCATGATGATAGGTGATGTGACAACTTCATTGATGCAAAAAATATACAGTATCAGGAAAAAAGATCGCAATATATATATATATATCCCTATCAGTCTTTGGTAAATTTCACAAGTGCTGAGATGAGATGTGCTGAGCACATTTTGCCCCCATACCCCCCTGCGCATGCAGGTCGCATGGACTGTGTAAACTCCGAGTCATTAGTGTCGAAGTGACACAACCCCGTTCGTCGAGGGGGTCGGTTTTCCACTTGTGAGTCAGAGTGTCATGCTGCCATCTGTGCTTTCATAGCGCAACAGAATCAGAAGGATTCTGAGCATGGCCTAGCCCCATTCACCAACAGCTGGTGCTAAGCTGCTAAGCTCTCAACCCATTCCCCTGCACCAACCATCAAGGCTAAATCAAATCCCATTAAGGCAATGCATATGTTTTTTGACATCTTGAAATCTTGATGTATGACTGTATGACCAGTAAACAACTCCAATTGGCACATCAATTGCACAACAACATCAGCCGCAGCCAAGGGTTTCCTGCATGTCGTGATTTGTGCTAGTCGTTGCCATACATGCAGAAAC